GTACTTAGCTACTCTACTGTTCTATTCCCCACCCTACCTCTGGGAGAGGGTGCCCTGGAGTGGAGGGTGCATTCCAGGCACTTGGAAGGGACAGTCCCTGCTACATAGGGACAAACTGGCATCTGGTTTGTACTCTGGTTTGTGTGAATTGAGTTAATGCGAGTCTGTGCCTGAGATGCACTGAGACCCTGCAGACCCGGAGCTGGCAAGGCAAAGGCCTCCCCCTGGAGAGGCAGGGTACCTGCAGGCCTCAAAGTGCCTCACTACAAAGTAGTTATTGGTTACAAAGGGAAGAAGAGTCACTTGACAGTGGAAGACATTCCCTTATTTATATGATCAAGGTCAAATGGAAATCATGTGACCCTTGGTATGATGCATTGAGGAGACACAGCATGCGATATATGACTTGCATCTGATCATAAGGAGACATCAGACAAGCCCAAATCTTTAAAAGTATCAAGGTCCAGAGAGTCAGGAAAAGACTGAAATTACAACTAAATGCAACACGTGAGACTGGATTAGATCTGATTGTTTATGAATATTATTGAGACAATTGGAAAACTCAAATAGGGTCAATGGATTAAATGGTAGTAAAGTATTTTCCTGATTCTGATGGTTATATTGTGATTAAGTTGGAAGAGGTCTTTGTTTTAAGGAAATACATACTCAAATATCTGGGGATAAGGGAACGTCCTATTGGCAAATTACTCTAACACGATTTAGGGGGAAAGTGTTTTTTGCACTGTTTTTGCAGACTTTCTTTAAGTTTGAAATTGTTTCCACATAAAAGAAACAAAGGATACAAAACTGGGTGAAGTGCATGATCCAGACTATGTCAAACAAACCAAAACTTGTCAATAAAAAAAGAGTAAAGAGAAAAAAATTACCCTATTTATTAAATTGTGTGTAGTATTTCTCCCTGATATTTAATTCTCCTCTGTAGTGGGCATGCCTCTCTCCTTCACTGTGCTGGGTGTCTGGGGCCACCAACTCCTTCTTCTTTCCTTGATTCTCCCTGCTAGAGGCAGTTGTATTGTGACTAAGAGCATGGATTCTGGTGGTAGACAGACCTGAGACAAAACACTCTATTCCCACTGCCTTATTTTACCCACCTGTGAAATGGGGATGTTTATACTCATGAGGCAATTGTGAGAAATGGTTGTGTTGATGTTAAAGCGCTGATCATGTATGATGGTTAATTTTACGATCAACTTGACTGGGCCCTGGGATGCCCAGATACCTGGTCAAATGTCAAACATTTCTGCCTGTGTCTATGAGCATGTCTTCGGGAGAGATTAACATTTGAATTGGTGGACTGAGTAAGGCAGATGGCCCTCCCCAATGCGGATGGGCAGTGTCCAATCCGTGGACGGTCTGCTTAAGATAAAAAGGCAGAAGAAGGTTCAAGTCTCTCTCTGCCTGACAAGTTGAGTTGGCACGTTGACCTTCTGCCCTCGGAGCTTCTGGTTCTCAGTCCTGCAGACTCAGGCTGGGTCTGTACCATTGGCTCTCTGGCTCTCAGACTTTTCAACTACATCACCAGTTTTTCTTGGTGTCCAGCTTGCAGATAGCAGATCATGGGACTTCGCCTCCATGATTATGTAGTCAATTCCTTCTAATAAATCTCTCTCTCTCTCTTTCTCTCTCTGTCAGTCTCTCTCTCTCCCTCCCTCCCCTGCCTCTCTATGTATTTCTCTGGAGAACCCTGACTCATACACCAGGGTAGGTACCCGCCACTAGTCAAATGCCCAGTAAGTGCTTGCTATTGTTATCCTAATTACAGCAGTCTTTTCAAAAATCAACTCTCGAATTTCTCAGATCTATGGCTTTTATTATTTTAATTTATCATCATCAAATTTATTATCTTTCAATCCTTCCTCTAGCTTTTCATGGGTTTGCTTTTTTGCTCTTTTACTTGTTTTTTGAATTGAGCACTTAGTGCATTTATTTCTTTTGTTTAATGAGAAAAACATATGCATTCCGCCCTTTTCTCTTGCTAGGGCTCCCCATTGTTTCCTAAACAACCATTAATTGTAGCTTTGATTTCCTCTTTGACTCTAGGGCTACTAAGGCTATTTCACCACCTTCTAGAGTGGCTTCATTTTATTTATTTCTTTGTCTTTCCTTTTATTATTAACTTGTAGTTTGGTTGCATTGTGGTTTCAGTCTGTGTATTGTACTGCTTCTGCTTTTTAGATTTTAATGAGATTTTCATTGTGGCTTAAGATACGGTCAAATTTTGTCACTGTCTCTTGGCCATTTCAAATGAAGTTGTATTCTCTGTTTATAGGGAACACATTTTGATACAGATCTATTAAGTCAAAATTTTAATAACAATTTTTAACCCTTCTATATTCTTACTTAATGTCTATCTACTTGATAGCTCAGAAATGGTGAGGTATGTTCAATCTTCTTTTATGATTGTGATTTTGTACATTTCTTTTTAATTTTTAATCTTTTGGCCTTGTAGGTTTGATGTTATATTCAGTACACACAGTTTTCCAGTTCTCATATTCTCTCTCTCATTTAGTTTGTGTCACTTGCCAATATCCTGATTAATGCTTTTTTGCTGCAAATTCTACATTGTCTGTTATTAATAACTGCTTTCTTCTTGTTTGTCCTTAGGTACTGGATACCTCATAGATTGTCCACCCCTTTCCCAGAAGGCAGTCAGTCTACTTTGTAGGGAACCGCATAGACTTGGACCCCTGCCGCACTTATTTGCTCCAGAGCTTGACATGTGACCATGCTGGGTCAGCCAGAATCTTCCCTGAGTGGTGGGAATTGAGACTAACAGGTGTCACTTAGTTGTGCTGCTGTCTATATTTAAGGCGATACATACTAGATGCTACCTGTGGTAGGGCCATCTTCCTGTGGATTGTTGCCAATGCGGAAATGAAGGAGGTGTATAAGCCACCCGGGGATGAGATAGGGAAAAAGTCCTAACTGTATGGAGGTACCAGGATTAGTTTAGCCCTGAGCCTCTGGATCAGGGAATTTAATCTTTCGTCTCATATAACAACAATACTTTCTACTCTTCACTCTTTCTTATGCTTTTATTTCATATTCCCATTTGCTTGTTTATTTTGTAAGTTTTTTTTGTTTTAATACAATCACACATGGCTTAATGACAGGGATACATTCTGGAAATGCCTTGTTAGGCAATTTTGTTGTTGTGCAAACACCATAGAGTGCACTCACACAAACCTAGGTGCTATAGCCTACTACACACCTAGGCTATATGGCTGAGCCATATAGGTCTAGTTGTGTATACAGTGTACTGAATACTATAGGCAATTGTAACACAATGGTAAATATTTGTGTACTTAAACATATTTAAACATAGAAAAGGTACAGTGAAAAATAAGGTATTATAATCTTAAGTCACTACCATCCTATATGCCATCCATCTTTGACTGATACATAGTGATGCAGCACATGACTGCATTTAGAAATTAGGAAGTCATTTGTATATATATAAAATTTCATATATATGAAATTAGGAAGTCTATTTGTAGTCTATTACTCGTTCCTTTAAATATATACATACATGCTACATATATCTATATAGATATAGATATATAGTACATTATTTCTTTATCAACTTAAAAAAATAGTATTTATTTCACCTGTGTAATATGACTTCATGCTCCCCACTTGTATTAATACTTCCCGTTTTTTCTTGATATAATGACATTTTAGATTGAGATTATTATTATGAATTTATTTCTTACATTTATGTATCTTCTCTTTCACTAATTATTTGGACATTTCTATTACTTTTAAAAATCATGTTAATATCAATATTTTGAATTAACTCTAATTTATTATCTGATTTCTACTAATTTTCCTGTTTGTTTATTGCTCAAATGGAGCAATATTTTGAACAAATTTTTCTGTATGGTTGAGTGAGTGGTACGCATTCTAAATGCTTAAGTGTATGAAGAAAGTCTTAATTGCTGTCACAAATGAATACAGCTTTACTGTTTTGGATGCAGTCTATTCCCCTTGGAACTTTGTAGATATTATTATATTTATCATATTTCTTTTTGTATTTAGGGTTACAGAGGAGAAGTCTGATTCTAGTTCAGTCCTCCTCACTCTGACATGTAACACCCTCTCCCAAATACTTGAAGGATTCTAAAATTTATCCCTGACATCCTAAAATTTTTCCAGGAAATATTTAAATACAGCTCCTCTTTCATTAATGATGGTTGGTTCCCCATGAAACCTTTTGTTCCCAAGATCAAAGATGTTGTCCATCTCTCATGTTTCCCCCTTGATCTATGTGTTCCCTTCTCTCTTGGAATGATGATGAGGAAATTCTTTTAAAAATGTAAGTTTTATTATTATTTAGGTATGGTGAGGCCAACAGACTGGGAGACAACCACCATTGAAAAGATAGTTTATTACTCACAGCTCCCAAGAGGAGGAGGCAGGCATGTCACACCATGTGTGGGGGGGTCACACAGGGAAGTACCAGGGTCAGTCAGCAGACAGAGACAGTGGGGAAAATGTGGCAAGAACCTTTATTACAGTTTCCACAGGAAAGAATGGATGAGGCAGAGAAAGCATGTTTAGGATTGGCTAGTTTGAATAATTTCAGCAGCTCTGAGATATAAAGGCTATCTCTAGATGGCTGGTACCTGGCTCTGGGGTGATTAAGGCAGACGGATAGTGACCCAGAGTGTGAGATGGTTAGGGTATGGGCTCAGATCGGTTAGTTTGCGTATGAAAGGCATGCTTGCAGGGGAGTCCTTTAGTAGCTCTAGAAATTGACCAGCCCTGAGAGGGGAATTCTCTCCAGTGTCAGCCAGAGCCCAGATGTCAAAGCATCAGAAATACAGAAAATAAAAAGGCATGATGAATATAAGAAGTCCCCAAAATGACTCCACTGTGTCTGTAGTTATATCTGCTTGATCGTTTTTAATAATAGAAATATATTAAGGAAAATATTATTATTATAACAACATATTTTTGACTCTCCTTTTTCTTCCCAGACTTACCAAAGATTTGTACAAGGTCAGGTGCTATGTGACATTTGTTCAACAATGGACTGCATGTATGACAGTGGTCTCATAACATTAAAATGAAGCTGAAAAATTCCTATTATCTAGCGAAGTTGTACCATCGTAACACAGTGTATCATTATTCATGCCTTTGTGGTGATGCTGGTGTAAACAAACCTACTGTGCTGCCAATCATATAAAAATAATAGCAGTCATACAGGTATGTATAGTAAGTAATACTTGATGAGATAAAAAATGGCCATGTTACTGATTATGTATTTACTATGCCATACTTATTATTTTAGAGTATACTCTTATTTATATAAAAACATTAACTGTAAAACAGTCTCAGGCAGGTCCTTCAGGAGGTATCCCAGAAGGAGGCATTGTTATCATAGGAGAGGACAGCTCCGTGGGTGTTACTGCCCCTGAGGACCTGACAGCGGGACAAGATGTGGGTGTGGAAGACAGTGATATTGATGATCCTGACCCTGTAGGTCAGGATCACACAGTAGGCCTAGGCTACTCTGTGTGTGTTTGTGTCTCTTAGTTTTTAACAAAAAAAGTTTAAAAAGTAGAAAAAAAAATTAAAAATAGAAAAAAAGGGTATAGAGTAAGGATATAAAGACAATTTTTTTGTACAGCTTTGTACAATGTATGTGTTAAGCTGTGTTATTAAAAAATTCAAAAAAATTAAAAATATTTAAAAGTTTGTAAAGTAAAAACGTTACATTAAGCTACGTTTAATTTATTATTGAAGAAAAAAATTTTACATAAATTTAGTGTAGCCTATGTGACAGTGTTTCTAGAGTCTGCAGCAGTGTTCAGTATGTCCTAGACCTTCATGTTCACTCACCACTCACTCACTGACTCACAGCAACTTCCAATCCTCAAGCTCCATTCATGGTAAGTGTTCTATATGTGTATACCATTCTTACCTTTTATACTGTTTTTTTTTTTTTTTTTTTTACTGTGCCTTTTTGATGTTTACTTATGTTTAGATACACAAATACTTCCTATTGTATTACAGTTGCCTACAGTATTCAGTACAGTCACATGCTGTACAGGTTTGTAGCCTGGGAGCACTAAGCTAGATAGCCCAGGTGTGCAGTAGGTGCTACCATCTGTGTAAGTGCACTCTCTGGTGTTTGCACAATGACAAAATTGCCTAATGGTACATTTCTCAGAATGTATCCCCATTATGCATGACTGTTTACCATTGGTTCCTATTTATTTTGAAATAGCCATTTTTTATTTCATTATTCCTTTCTATTTTTCATTGTTTCTTTTTATTTTATTATTTTTGCATTTTATCTTTATTTCCCTTTATAAAACCTTCTTTTGGTTTGTTCCATTGTTCTATTTTCAGATTCTTAAATTGAATCCTCAGTCCATTTGTTTTAAAATTTTCTTGATTTCTGATAAATGTATTTAGAGGTATAGATGCATCTCTTCAGGCATAGTTTTAAAAATTGTGATATGCCATGCTCTTGCACGCTCATATCTCATCATTGCCTAGTTCTAAACTATTTGTATTTTTGTCATGATTTCCTCTTTAGCCCATAAGTTATTTGGCAATGAGATTATATTGCTTGTTTCTAAATATATGGGGCTTTTTTTGGGGGGGGGGGTCTGTTAATGGTTTAATTTGCGTTGTCTTGTGTGGCAGTCAGAACATGTGGTCTATATCATATTGGGAAGACTTCTTTTGACATGAAGTTCAAGTTAAATATCATAAATGATCATGTATACTTGAAAGGAATAAGTGCTTTCTATTTATAGAGTACAAAGTACCATATGGCTCTATTATAGCAAATCTATAATTTTATTATTTAAATATTTGATAATGTTAGCAATGTAGTTTGACTGCATGATCTGTTCATTTCTGACAAAGTGGCCTACATTGAGTATGGATATGTCAATTTCTTCTTTGATGCTGCCAATTGCATAGTTTGAGTGTATACAGGGCATTATTGTTATACCATTTTAATGGATGATTCTTTTTAAGACTAGAAAGTGTTCTTCTGCATTTCTATAAAATTAATGTTTTTTATATTCATTATTATTTCACCAGTCCCTATTTAGATAGAATTTTACATGTGTGTGTTTTGCATAAGTTTATTTCCAAATTTTCTGTTTCAAATTTAGATGTTTCTTTCATAAACAGCATATAGCTGAGAGGGGGGAAAAGTCATTATGAAATTCTATCTTTGAATAAATGTTTAACCTATGCAAATCCATTTATTATGAGTATCAATATATTTTACCTTACTTCTGTAATATCATTTTTGTTTCTATTCGCCATAGTTTTTCTTTGCTTATTTATTTCCTCTTCATTTTTGTTTTCTGTTGAATTGATTTTTTAATTCTTTTTTTTTCTCTATGTGTTTGGAAATTACAGTCTGTTTCTGTCCTTTTGGTGGATAATCTTCTTTGAGAGCTCATTTCTCATGGGAGTATTCTTCCAAATGCCCTTCCCTGTAGGGTGGTTTTGTAGTTACCTTAGCCCCAGCTCCCTGGGGTTCAGGGTTGTGAACCAGGTACCACATGAACACCTTTGTCTTGGGTCTTCTCCATGTGGTTGGAGTAGCTCTGAACTTCCTACCTACACATGACCCAGGGAGTGATTTCTTTCTTGGCTGCATCTCTATTCTGGCCATGGACAAGCAGTGTGTTTCCAGACACATGCCCAGGTGGGCAGGCAGAGTCAATCCAGCCTCCCCTGGTGGGTGTGCTGTGTGTTTATGGTGCCCAGCTTCACAGAGGAGCCCAGTCTTGGCATAGCAGCACTGTCCCCAATGAACTGTCTCTGTTCTTAATTCTTTTTTTTTTATTTCAGCATTTACCAGGGCGCAAATGTTTAGATTACATATATAGCCTTTGCCCCACCCAAGTCAAAGCTTCAAGCATGTCCATCCCCCAGACAGTGCGTGAATATACTCATCCCCTCCTCCCCCTCCCGCCTGCCTGACACCCAATGAATGTTGCTACTATATGTGCACGTAAGTGTTGATTGGTTAATATCAATTTGATGCTGAGTACATGTGGTGCTTCATTCTTGTAGTACTTCATTGAGTAGAATGGGCTCCAGCTCTATCAAGAATAATACAAGAGGTGCTAGATGACCATTGTTTTTTGTGGCTGAGTAGATAGAATGCCATGGTATACATATACCACATTTTCTTAATCCACTCATGTATTGATGGGCACTTTTGTTGTTTCTGCCTCTATGCAATTGTGAATTGTGCTGCCATACACATTAAATTCTTAGCTGTACTCCATCCAGCTCCTGCTTTGGTTCCCTTTCCCATTACTCATCTATGAAACTCTTCCCTTCTTTATTCTCTTAAACACAATTATATACATATTTTCTAAATTAATGACATATCTGTCATCCCCATATGTTGGGATGGATGGGGAAGGTTTTGGCACATGCTGTCATCTTGACCTGAAAGTCTCATATTATCTATTCGCATATAGATTAGTCTTGAACTAAATGACTGACACATTTTGGAACACTTTGGGGTGAAATTCCCCCTCTGAGTAGCTGTCTTCCAGGAGAGAGGGGCCCTCTCTTCTTCAAGCATCCCTAAAGATGACAGCTTCTTCTTGGTTGATGCTGTGGCTTTTTAGATCTCTCTGAGCTCTTGAATTGGACCTGGCCATCCCTGCTGTCCCTGTTCCCTATGCACACTGGCCTGGGGGCCGGGGGAGCCTGACAACTTCTGAAACACCCACAAGCAGCTTGAAGGTCAAAAAAGGCAACGGGACAATGCAATAGCAGAAACAAAAGAGTGCTGACAGAGATGGATGCGGGTACAACTAAGGAAGAGCTTTTCCTGGGGCTAGTTTCTGAACTCTTCTGAACACTGAACAAATGTCTACCAAGGTGGTGCTGGGTGGGTTCCAGAGCTGCTGGCGGGGAGGGTCCCTGGGCCCTAGAGCCTCTTTTTGCCTGTGGACTTTGGCACCAGGGTGTGAAGTACTTGGATGCTGCCGCTGACCAAGCTTCTAGGGTCCTGCCAGGACCTTGCATGGTTCCCCAATCCTCCTCTGCCTTTTTGAGTCAAGCAAACTTACTGACTGCTTGTGGAGGCTTGAAGCAGCCTTTCTGCTTCTTGCTCACTCAGTACAGTACACTGATACTACATGTCATTTATTAAGCACTTAGGTGTGCTGCATGTCACACAGGTCCTGTGTAAGGGCTGTGTCTTGTTCCCTCCTTGTACCTTTACTTGGATGTTACCACAATGTGGAGACCAGTATCCTCATCATTTTGACAGGTAAGGAAGCCGAGACCTACAGAATTTAAGCCTTGTGTCCAAGTTCACAAATCTAGCACATGACAGAGTTGGGAATCAAAACCAGGTCCGACTGATCTCAAAGGCGGGGCTGTTTCTTCTACACTTTTCTGGTGACTGATACAATAAGAGTCAAACGTGATGCCAATGGTAGCTTCCAAGCTAACTTCCAAGTTGCTCCCAAGGTAGCTTCCAAATTGCTAATCTTGGCTGGGGAAGAGCTAGAAGGAATTTCACAATTTACTGCTTCTCTGGGAAATGGCACAGCAGTTCCAAGATCTTCTGGAAGAAACTCAGTGCATTGCATAGGAAGGATGATCAGATCTTTCAGGGAGCGGGCTGGGCTGGGGATGGGGAAGGGTGTGGTCAGGTGAAGAGTGAATAAAGGCTAGCCCTGCCTGGAGGGAAAGGGGAAAGCAGCGGGAACATGTTTGGGGGTGATTCATGCCTGGAGGCATCCTCCTACTGACACCAGTCAGGCAGCTGCCTTTTAAGGGAAAGGTCTCTTCTCCCTACCCCCTTCTCACAGGTCCAGGATCTCTCAAATCTAACCTCAGAACCATCTTACCCAGAACAGGTTGTTTTACAGCCCAACCACTTTCTCTCTAGCTGTCTTTCAGAAATTTGGGACAGGGCTGAGTAGAGCTCTGTTTGTGCTGGAGGAGGAGGGAGGGTGTGATCCCAGAGATGGATGAATGCCCAAGCCTTTTCATAGTGTTCAGACCCATTTGCA